AAACGTGTCGTTCATCAGTAGATTAATCTTTGATCCGCCGCTCTCTTCAGTCACATCCACGTCATATACCTTTTCTCCCATTGAACTCTCAAATAACTTGAGAAACTTACGACTATTTTCAGACAGAGAGAGAGAGAGAGAGAGAGAAGCTATAATATGGTGTAAAGTCTAATGTTTATACTCAATACAATGCATTCATTCGCTCAAACATTTATTAACAATTAGATATTTTATTATATTTAAAATCTCATTACAATATGCAATTCTTTATATACCTGTACATTGTGTTGTGATATCTTATCTGTAAAGTGTTTATTAATAAAGTTAATGCTAACATTAATCTATGCAAATAACAAACTGTTGGTTGAATACGAGCGCCATTAGTGGCGATGTGGGCGCCAACCCATCATATAATATACAAACATTATGTAATATTAGTCTTAATTTATTTATACCATAATAAAGTTATAATTGTCATAACTGTTCTGAGACAATAACACAAACGGTAGACATATTACAGCAATATTACAAATGCATTATTATTTATAATTCAATAAAATGTAATTTTGGTTATCAAATGAAAGTTTATTAAAGCATAAAAGTTTTTGTTTAATTAAAAAATTATTGCAAACAGTATTTCTCATAATGAGTGAAACGTTAAAAAAACAAATAAGGTTTATATTAAAAATTTCGTTTCTAATATTGTTAATTAATAAAAGAGTAATTAATTATATTTTTAACCATTTTTAGGAAATCTTTTATTTTAAAGACTTTAGTTGAGTAAAGTTATCCATTATAGCAATGCCTTCAATGTATTGTTGTTTCTGATTCTGTAATTCAATTCTCAAGTCTTTGTTGAAATCATCGCCTATGATATCATCAATGGATGGGAACTGTTTGCGAATCTGTACCTGAAGTTTAGTGCCAATGAATTTACACGTGGAGTCTATTAACTCGTATTGACATAGTTTTGGCAAACGATCCCTAATGTTAATCAATTATAATAAACATAAGTTAATTAAATATTGTATTTAATGTATTTAAACACTGTATATGACTTTATTACTTATATACTATATTAAAATCGGTTAATATTGATATGTATTGTATGTCTAATGTATTGGATGACAGAAATAGACAATCATTGACTGCATTGATGATAGGATTGTCACAAATGCCACAATTGATTGACATCAAGTTAACACAAATACATGTCAACGCTTGCAATAATGATATACTTTTAAATGGATTGAAACAAATTGGTCTAAACTCAACAAAATTGTCGTCACTATCGCTACAATTCCGGCACAAAACCGACGATCTATTGACACAAACCATACAAATAGTAAACAAAATTTATTGGCGATTAAAAAGATTAGAAATCAGTGCTTATTTTCCTGTTAAAGAGTTTGTATTACCGGACAAAGCGTTGGATAAATGCAATTGTTTAACGCATTTAAAACTGGATTCAGTGATAAAATGGTTAAACTATTCAAACGATACATTTTTTGCTCAAATTGCGAAAAATATGTCTAAATTACAATATATTGACATTACTTATTACGCGAACACCAATATAACCGGCGATATACTGGTCTTACTGTCAAAATTGTCCAAAATTAAAGCCATAAAACTTAATAACTATTTTTATGCTTCTAGAGATATATTGCCCGCACCAGACATACAACATATTACCGACAATTGTTTTAAAATAATTTCAATTGAAATTAAAAACACAAAATATCTCAATTTATAATTTTATTAATAAAATTACATTCTATCAATTTATAACAATTTTATCAATCAATCACATTATAGTTTGTGAATAATTATATTTCACAAAATTATTTACTTATTCTGTAGATTCTGTAGACTCTGTAGACTCTGTAGACTCTGTAGACTCTGTAGACTCTAAACTAGACTTTAGTTTAGAGAACTTATCCATTATCTCAATTCCTTCAATGTATTGTTGTTTCAGATTTTGTAATTCAAATCTTATGGCTTTATTGGGGTCATCGCCTATGATATCATCAATGGATGGGAACTGTTTGCGAATCTGTACCTGAAGTTTAGTGCCAATGTATTCACACGTAGAGTCTATTAACTCGTATTGACATAGTTTTGGCAAACGATCCCTAAATTATATCAATTACAATATAAATTCATTAAATAATGTTTCAATTTATTCAAACACTTTATGACTTACTTGAAAGTCTTCTTAAATATAACAATGTATGCATTGACTAATCGCTTCATTTCATCCACTGCTTTGGCTATATGTTCGGGAACTGCCATCTCTTCATCACCGATACTGAGATCCGATTGCGAGTTACGCCTAATTAACATGTTAGACACCGATTCGTTGTCGCCGTTAGTGATGGACTGATTCGCACTCAATCTCGGCATAACCCCCGCCTCCTTTAACCATACGCTCCACTTTAAGGCCGACTCTTCTGTTGGGAATACTAACTCGATGTCATCTATCTTAATCAGTCCTAGATTCCATTTCCTATTACTATAATATTAAAACATAATCATATCATTTTCAAATAGATAATATTTTTGTAAAATGTTTACTTTTCCGATAAGACGATAAGTAATGAGTGATCGGATTCTGTGCTCTTAAAGTGAGAACCACTCAAATTAATTGAATTCTGTTTGTCCTTAAGTTTGTCGTTTTTAAACCACGAAAGAGTGTTTCCTTTGAGAACAAACCAATATTTAGTCTTCTTATATGAAATCCAATCTGTTTTTGACACTTTCAACTGGGCATCAGTTATAGACACAGTTTTTACTTCACTGTTTTAGAAATAAATAATATTTATAAATTATAATAAAAATATATACTATTGATTTTATTATTGTTTATGACATAGATTTAATGCTAAAAAGTGTACCCGATCATTTTGATAAAATCTTCATGCTTTGTATTCGTATAGCATTTTTCTGTTTCGACAAAATGTTCGACACATTCCTTGCATTTCTTATTAGATATGCCAATGAATTCAATCGTTAAATTCGTGAATATTTTCCTAATAAGTAAGAATAATGCATTTTTAAATTAAAATTACAAATATAACTAATTTATTAAAACTAACCTTAGGTTTTGGTGCGATTTTATCTTATCAGCGCATTTGTTGATTGTCGTAATGATCTCATCGGTAACCAAATCCACACAATCCAGTGCTGGTCTCCTGAAGTACTCTACGATATTACCAGATAATTGGATATTAAACCGAAAATAATTATTCTAATCAGCACTATGAATATATATGTAATTTTTGTTAACCGCCGGACCATACTTTTGAGTAATGTTAAGCGGATTGGGAATCAAAATACCCCAATAAAACAATTGATTAAACAAAAAACAAACCAGATAAATGGTCAAAAATAAATGCATAGCAAAAATAATTTCAATACCGATTTGTTTTTTAACACATGAAGTAAAGGCAGTGTTGGGTAAGACAAGTGCCGCATGTGTGCCAAAAGCGTTTTTAACGGCTGTCACGATCTCACGACTCAAACGATTTTGATCGAAAAACATTTGATCCACTTCTTTGGCAAACGTGTCGTTCATCAGTAGATTAATCTTTGATCCGCCGCTCTCTTCAGTCACATCCACGTCATATACCTTTTCTCCCATTGAACTCTCAAATAACTTGAGAAACTTACGACTATTTTCAGACAGAAGTCCCTCTTTATCGTAATCTTTTAAAGGAGTCTTCATTTTATATAATTTATGATTAATTTCGCGCAGTTTTGCGTCTAATTTAGTCTTCAAAGGCGGCAATTTTCGTTTGATATGGTTTGACAGTTCCTGTTGTAGATATTCCTGAAGGTATTTAATACCCAATCGTTTGGCCATTTCTGGCCCATAAGCCGGATGTTTGGCGAAGAACTCGCTTTCGTCGGCCAACGCTTCCTTAATGTCTTTATTTTCATTGATATCTTTTTGGGATCGATTAACGACACCAATGAAATCTCGTTTTAATCGGATATCGTGTTTGCCATTTAGTATATCTCTAGCATTAGTTCCGTTGTCCATTAGATCCAGTTTTGTAAGAACAGCAATGGTTCGGTCACCGCTTGGATCAACTCTTTTGGCCAGTTTGAGGGCATCAGAAGTGGCCAGATCTGCAAACATTAGTTATTGTATTTTTAATTTTACATTTATGATAGTTATGTATGTTTTTAAATCACACATACCCTGATTGGCTGCAGTAACCCCTAATATCAAACAATTATCTCTTTCAATGTAATTGAAAACCATATTTTCAATCAATTCTTCAATATTTGAGGGTTGGTTCCCAACGGCCACTCTTGTCATTCCCGGCAGATCTACAAGAGTTAGATCCAACACATCCGGCGAATAGATCTTCAAATTGATTGGTTTCGATGATATTCCTGTGCTTTCCTTAACCTCTCTATCGGTTTCAGCTGTGATTTCATCGCGTATTTCTTTAAAACTCTCAAATCTTTTTCTTGTCGAATGAAGGAATTCTCCAAACGCTTGGAAATTATAAAACAATTAAATTTAATTTTACTTAAAATAAATTTTAGGCATTTTTTACGTTTATTGATATTTTTATCGGATATTAATTGCAGAACGAGTGGTCTTCGGGTGACAATACCCGACCCTCGGGGCAGGAAATCGTAGCCAACGATACTCTCCAAAACACTAGACTTTCCCGAAGACTGACCGCCGATGACAACGATTTGTGGCAAATCTAAGACAATATTCTCTCTGAGTTTGTCTTGAAGTTCATTCACTACTTGTATTAAATTAGCGGCAAATCCAGTCATTTTTAAGAGACTTTGTATAATAATTAATTTAAATACAAATTAAGATTTAAAAATATGTAAATCTGATATACTTTTAATATTTAATTACAATTTAGGTATTCATTATTATAAGGATTCAAATTATAAAGGTTTAATGTTATGTAATATTAAGTGTATTGCTTTTAAATGACTTATTGCATACTTATAATCCACTTTCACTTAATCTTATCTCTCATAATATGTATGCATACATAATATACATGTATAATACTTGAAATTGATTGTAAGCTTACAACAAAATAATATAATAAATATTAAATCAATTGCATAGTATTACTAAAACTGTATATCCTGTCGGCAAGCAAGTCAAATACTAATATCGTTTATGTGCTGTAGATACATTTGGCGGTCAAATTGTTTTTTATACAAATTGTATGTTCCCTTTAACTTTCCAAAAAGCAATTTGAGGGACAATTAGAAGAAATTGAAATTATTTGTTTGGAAAGAGAATTCCCTTGATTGAATTACATTATAATAAATGTTCTTCATTTAAATTAATTTGGTACATGATAGATAATTTTGTACCAGTTTATTAAATAATGATCAGAAAGGGATATGCATTCTCTCGTAAACAGATGTTTGGCGAAAAGAAAACGGAATTTAAAATTGCGCAAAAAGTTGCAAATAACTTAAGTTTGAAATTAAGATATAATAGTTGGCGACTATAAGAAATTTTTCTCGTAACTAAATGGTTGCCGAGCGATCATAAGTGTGTGTGAGAGAGGGCGAGTGAGTGAGTGAGTGAGTGAGTGAGAGAGAGAGAGAGAGAGAGAGAGAGAGGCTATAATATGCGAAAAATTTAAAAGGAGTTGTCTTAGTTTCAATATGATATAAACGAATTCTACCAAGGATGTTTGCAAAACATCCTGTTAGTCATTCAATAACAAAATGTGGAAAAATTAATTTCTAAATTCTAAACATTTTTGAACAAGATCATATTTCATCAACAAATTAAGGATGTGATTATCTCGAAAAGTATTTGATAATTAAAAAATTCCTTCACAGCCTGAACAAATGTTTGAATAACAATTAAAAATACAATTAAATACTATTGTGACTAATGATTAATGAATGACAAACAACAATTAAAAGTTTCAAACAGTAATTAGAGTACTATAACGTCGGAATCTCAATATGAAAGTAGGGTTGATTTTGAAGCTTTACTAACTCTACAACAGAATCTGAAGAGAAACTCTTGAGATTTTTATGGTAATGCCGAGTTATTGACAATAAATTAATTTTCATAAAAATGGATAGTAGAACATATGTAGAACACATTTGAGGGATAAAAAAACATTTAAAAATTTTTAAAATTTTTAAAAATTTGACCTAGGATAATATTTTTTTAATATTTTGTCTTTGTATTATATTCTTTCATCATGATAAAAATTTAATTAAAATTTGATCAATTTTTTCGAAGTTAAGACAACTCCTTTATGTTCCTAACAATGCATTCGGCATTTTAATAACTCATTTGTCAGCATTTATTAACAATTAGATATTATATTTTATTTGAAATCTCATTACAATATGCAGTTTTTTGTACAGTATATAAACTGTATATCTTATCTGTAAATTATAAGTGTCTATTAATTAATTTAATGTTAACATTAAGCTATTGATGGAAATGAAAACAGTTGGCTAGTGATAATGTGGGCACCGGCTCATCCTATGACTGTGATATAAAAGTATTATGTAATTTAACAATACCATAATAAATTTATACATTAAATGTAACTATCATAACTGTTCTGAAACAATAAGGCAAAAGGTATACATATTACAGAAATATTACAAATGCATTATTTTATTTCTTATTTCAATATAATGTAATTTTGGTTATCAAATGAAAGTTTATTAAAGCATAAAAGTTTTTGTTTCATTGAAAATTTATTGCAAAATATATTTGTGTTAAATCATTTAACTAATCAAATAGAAACTTAAACAAAGCAGATATAAATTTAGATCAGATTAAAAATTTCGTATTTAATATTGTTAATAAAAGAGTAATTAATAATATTATTAACCATTTTAAGGAATTTTATAAATCTTTTATTTTAAAGACTTTAGTTGAGTAAACTTATCCATTATGTCTATGCCTTCAATGTATTGTTGTTTCTGATTCTGTAATTCAATTCTCAAGTCTTTGTTGGGATCATCGCCTATGATATCATCAATGGATGGGAACTGTTTGCGAATCTGTACCTGAAGTTTAGTGCCAATGAATTTACACGTAGAGTCTATTAACTCGTATTGACATAGTTTTGGCAAACGATCCCTAATGTAAATCAATTATAAATCACATAAATTAATTGAATAATGTATTTAAACATTGTATATGACATACTTGAAAGTTTTCTTCAATATAACAATGTATGCATTGATTAATCTCTTCACTTCGTCCACTTGTGTGGCCATATGTTCGGGAAAAGCCATGTCTTCACATACAGTAGGGATACTAAGACTTGATTCTGAGTTACGACTCGACGACATGTTATACACCGATTCATTGTCGTCGTTAGCCATCGACTGATTGTCACCTAAACAGGGCTTAACCCCCGCCTCCTCTAACCATTCCCTCCACTTTAACGCCACATCTCTTGAAGTGAATACTAACTCAAATTCATTGTTAAGACTAAAACCAATCATTTTTCTATTAAATTAAAATTTTAATTATTAATACAACAGAAATAAATGTTTTAAAATAATTACTTCTTCGATAAGATTAAAACCAATGAGAGATCGGATTCAATGCTCTTAAACTGAGATCCGTTTACATCTATTGAACCCTTTCTATCCTTTTGTGTCTCGTCTTTAAACCACAAAAGAGTGTTTCCTTTGAGAACAAACCAAAAGTCATTCTTCTTGTATGAAATCCAATCCGACTTTAGGTTTTGTTGAACCACTTGTGCCGACACTTTCAACTGAACATCAGATATGCATTTTGACTTCACTTCCCTTTAATATTTATCAAACAAATATTGGTATTAATATTTGACAACATTTACAATGTATTTATATCATTATATACCCAATCATCTTGGTAAAATCTTCATGCTGTGTATTCGTATAGCATTTCTCTGTTTCGACAAAATGCTGGACATATTCCTTGCATTTCTTATTAGATTTGCGAATGAATTCAATCGTTAAATCCAAGAATATTTTCCTAAATAATTACTTTTTGTTTAATAAAATATAAATAAATTTAAATAAGTTTAAAATTAACTTTAAATTTGGAAAGCAATGAATATTATCAATGCATTTGTTGATTGTGTTAATGATCTCATCGGTAACCAAATCCACAC